ACGTAGGTGTATTTGTAATACACTAGCGTAAATGCAGCAACCTCTGTGTTACCGTATGCAACATTGGGCAATACCTACACACGTATACACGCACATATACGGTATTACGGACTTTGACACATTTTTTGAACGGAGTTAGTTTGATTAGCATTGATGGAGATGACGACTACACTGTCTTTCTTGGTTTCCTCAACGGTACGGTTTCTTATCGCTGTCGCCAACTGGTGTTGGCTTTCTTATCGCTGTAGCATGTGTACTACAAAGAAAATGTCAAAATCAATGTCAAATTATTCAAAACAAGAGTGAAAGAGTAGTTCACTGCTAGCACCAGTTGCCGCTTCTGCGGAATAGCCCATGGGCTATTTTATATAGGAACTGTCAAGAAACCGTAGAGTTGGGTTTCCTCTTTTAAGCTCGCTATTGGTGAGTCAAAAACGGCATCGGCCCTCTAAGCGAGGACAGCATCAAACTGTCAAAGTACACGGGCACTTCCGATGCTTGTGTGTGTGTGTGTGTGTGTGTGTGTGTGTGTATGTGTGTGTGACATTGTGTTCACTACGATAATGTTCACTTTCAATAAGTTAATGACAGCTTTAAGCTGGACCGTCTAGAGAATGTCTTGGTCAAATCTCTCCCATGTATTTAGATACGAATAAAGCGATCTTGCCTCTTTGAATGGATTCCAGCGTTTGTAGTAACGCAACGGACCCGGGTCCGCATGTGTGGCCGACCTGAAAACGCCATTTGCCAGCACTATTCCAGCACTATTTTTTGAGGTATCATTTGTATAGAAAAAATCAATATTTCACATACCTCCCATACAAAAGTATCGAAAAATCGATTTTTCGACGAATATTGCTCGGCCACCAGTCAACATTTTTACAATCTGAAAACGCCATTCGCCAGCACTATTCCAGCACTATTTTTTGACGTATAATTTGTGTAGAAAAAATTAAAATTTCACATACCTCCCATACAAAAGTACCAAAAAATCGATTTTTCAACTTTAAACGAATAGTGCTAGCGTCTCCGAACAGCACTATTCATGGGACCAATTGCAATCGACAGCACTATTCGAGCACAATTTTTTACATGTTATGGTTTACCAGCACTATTTCCGGGCGGTGCTGATGACATGTACCTCTCACAGATTTGGAGCCCATACACCGCTGAGAAGATTGCTCGAGTTGAATCCGTCCAAAAGCAATTTTTACTATTTGCACTGCGTAAAATGAAATGGTCGCATGGATTTAAGTTGCCACCATACGAATGTCGATTGCTGGAATTGCAAATGATTACGCTTGCGGAACGAAGAAAGATAGCTCAAAGCACAATGGTACATAATGTGTTATGCGGGCTTACATCATCGAGACACATTATGAACGAAATCAATATTAGAACACCACGGCATTGGACGAGAGACACAGCATTCCCATCTCTACCAGTACGACACCGTGATCACTCTAGATTCGAACCAGTCAATCATATGCTGTCTACATACAATGAATTTTATGACAAGTTTGTGCCAATTAGGCCACCTTTAACTCATAAAGAAAATAAGAATTATTATAATGTTCCTACTCCAGTCTGTGATACTTATTTAATTGATTTTAACACGAGTACAAATACTGTTAAACAGAGAATAAATGAATATTTTAAAAGAAATAGATTATGGAGAGAGTAATAAATTTTATGCAAATATAGCAATTCAATTAATGTAATAAAATGTAAATGTATAAGCAACATTAACTGTGATATAGCCATCCATTGCGTGGGTGATTAACTTTTGACCTGCCATTAATTTATAATGGAAACTACCGTTTATGTTAATGTATTTGCAAGTATTGTAAATTTATGTCTTTCGGTCTCTACTAAATTACAAATTCATAACTACCAACAGGGACTTGTCAGATTAGACGTAAAACTTTTCTTCAATGTATCACCTCTTGATAAATTGAATGATGACTTTTGCAGTCATTAGGGCCGTCACTACAGTGTTAACGCTTCAGTTAGTCTTTCATTTTTTACACGTTTAAGTTAGGCTATATTGGACCGTTTACATCTCGGCTACCTATGCATTTCCATGTATTGGTTAGGTTATCTTGTGTCAATGCTTTTTAGACCAAGTTGTTATACCAATAGAAAAAGACTATTACTTACAACTACTTATTGTATAAAATTACCATATATTGTACAAACAGAAAAAGATCAGGTTTTTCACGACTCTTGGAGTCGTTTTCCTGCAAACCAAAATATTCAGCCAGTTTTTGGCGGTGTTAAATAAATAAATGAATAAATAAATATAAAAGAATGTTTATATCAAATAAACCACCTCTGGCGAAGAAACGCTGTATGGTGCAGAAAAATAATAATAAAAAAAAAAATATTTACAATAAGGAAAAATATCTTGCCTCACGACTTTTGAATTTAGTCTTCAAGTTTTGCCGTCCAAAAGTCGTGACGCGATATTTTTCCTTAATGTAAATAAATTTTCACAATAGTGAATGTGAAAAACACTTTTGAACTTCGTGTCCAGTAATAATACAGCGTCCTAGCGTCACTCAAAATGATATCAGTCATTTTGAGTGGTAAATCCACGCCCAGGAGCGTCACTCCATTTTAACCTCGTCTAGAGGTTTTTCATCTGATATCACTACTTTTGTAAGGCAATTATTCTCGGAAAAAATACACTTTTGTCAGAAATATGTCTATTTTAACCCTCTAATGCATTACTTTTCCCAGGGCTGGGAGTACTGGTATTTAGTTGATTTATTTATAATGGAATATAGTTACCATTTTCAATGTACGTAAAAATCAAACCGAACTAAATTGTATAAAAACAAAAGATCAGGTTTTTCATGACTCTTGGAGTCATTTTCCTGCAAAACCGAATATTCAGCCAGTTTTTGGCGGTGTAAATAAATTTATTTAGGAGGAAAATGACTCCAAGAGTCATGAAAAACCTGATCTTTTGGTGTTTGTACAATATATGGTAATTTTATACAATAAATAGTTATAATAGTCTCTCTCGATTGGTATGACAATTTGGTCTAAAAAGCATTGACACAAGATAACCTAACCAATACATGGAAATTCATAGGTGGCCGAGATGTAAACGGTCCAATATAGCCTAACTTAAAGGTGTTAAAAATGAAAGACTAACTGAAGCGTTAACACTGTAGTGACAGCCCTAATGACTGCAAAAGTCATCATTCAATTTATCAAGAGGTGATACATTGAAGAAAACTTTTACGTCTAATCTACAAGTCCCTGTTAATAGTTATGAATTTGTAATTTAGTAGAGATAAATAAATAAATGTCTGAAGGTTTTTCGTCGTGATGTGATGTATACAGTTTAATACGCAACGCAAAGAAGCCAAACGCGGTTAAAATGTTCGGCGAAAACACCGAATAGTCGTTGGCAAACGGTCCTATTATGCTAACGTCAAGACAACCAAGAAGATGACGAAGTGAACGTTACACACAAGGTGCTTCACCAGTCAACTATACAAAAGCCATTCAGCTCGGAAGAATTAATCGCAATGAGAACGAACCAAAACACACGTCTTCGTTTACTCGGATTCAAACCCATCTTCAACCACGTTGGATGATCAAGCACTGTTTATTCATGTACCCATGAACGACAC